TTCCTTAACACAACTAATATTATGAAAGGAAATTAATTGACTGGGCAGAAGTACTGAGATTTCTTGATGTGTTTTGGGTTGCATCTTGTTCTCTGCTATTTTTACTCCCAGTGTAACTTATTTAGAGCTGCTCTTATCTGCTTATTGATCCTAAATCAAAACCAACTCTGTCGTGTTTTAAGGCTTCTGTGCAGAAGCAGAAGATTGATGTCTCACCAGTGGTGTTCTAAAAGCAAGGTGCTAGCCCCAGATTGCTGTTTAATCTATATCAAAGCAGCCCTTCAAGCAGCTGGTAAAGAAGTATTTTGGCACATGTGAGCAAAACTTGGATATTGCAAGGGCTGAATCAAAGAGGTCTGAAAGAGTCACAGACCAAACTTTGGAGGAAACCAGGCTGAGCTTCTTGCCAAGCACTGCTCCTGGCTTTTGTGCCTTCATGTGCACGGGGCTGTGCACACCCTTGGGCAGGCACCCACTGCTGTTGAGCACAAACTTGGGCTTCCCTTCTGCTGCTTTGGGGTTGCTTCAGTTTTTATGGATGAGTAAAAACCAAAGAAGAATAAATACTGTTCTAGCAGCTGAAAACTTGCAGATCAAAACTAGAGGTATTTGTTAGGATATGCAAGTAAATCAAGAGAGAGGTCAAAGTATTGATGTTTCTTATGAGTATGTGTCCCAGACACTTAGCTCTTTGCCATGCTTGGCGCACCAATGCAGTAGTTTTGTAGGTCTGAGTGATGGTTGATCTGTGCTCTAATTGTTTATCTGATGACCTGTTTCACTGAGAGACAGTGAGAGGTGCTCTGGATACAAGGTTCAGGGTTCTTGGTCCCTTCCCTCAAGGTTTGAATGCCTCCTGAGCCATGTCAGTGGAGGAAGAAGAAAACCCTTCTACACTGCAATTATATACTGTAATAATTATATACCAAAATAGATCCTAAGGGACTGAGAAGAAACAGAACCAGTCTGTAACTTGATGCAATTCCTGTTTCTCCCCCTCCCCCCCCCAATCTTTTGTTGTTTTTTTTTCTCCTGGTAAGAGCTGCAAATGGAATGACAAATCAGTCCTTGAGCAACGCAGAAATTTCTATCAGTCCTTCTGCAGAAGAGGCTTTGGAAGGTGACCTTGGGCATTTCTACTCCCAAAGAACTTAATTATTTTCTGTTAGAGTTTCTCTGTCTGAATCAGCTCAGAGATCCTGTGCCCCTCTTGCCTGCATGGAGATGAGTTGGATGCAATGTTGCCATGGCCCCTGCACTGACCCAATACCATTTCCCATGCATCTTGCACCAGCTGCTGGTTTTCAAGCTAGTATTTGTGACTTTGCTCACAGTATTTTGTGCCTGCAGCCTTGCCTCTCAAAAGCAATTCAGATATATCCATTTTCTTTCACGGGAAATTCTAGTGTAGCACCCTCATAAGACGTGTTTTTGGAGCCCTGCTGGCACTTTCGATAGAAAGGATAAGGTCAGGGAGGGAATTTACTCCTTTCTTCAGTAGATACAAAGAATAAACAAAGCATTCTATGTTCAGAGTCCAAGGAAATAATCAAAAGTAAAGAGAGCATCTCTGTGCATCATCTGTATCCCGCTTGGAACACTCCTCTGGGGTTCTGTGTGGGCTTTGCTATGCAGTCAATGTACCAGTCCTTCCTATAAACTCACTGCCTGGGAGTGTTTTCATCCCTTCTGTAAGGTTTGGCTGAAATTGGCCAATAAATTTGGGTGTTATTGGGGCAGCAGGAATTGTAACTGAGAGTGATGGTGCTGTCGTAAGTCTTCTCTCCCCTAGGAAATCAAAAAGATCCCCTGCACACTTTTTGCTGCCCTGGTTATTTTGTGGATTCTTTACAGCTCTGTTTATGAACCTTACCTCAGGCCTTGGTGCTGAGTTACTGCTGTTGCTGCCTGACAGATGTGTTTTCCAGAGGATGATGAGGAGGAGAAAGGATGGAGAGAAACTGAATGTTTCTGTTGTGGGCAGAATTGAGAAGCTGCCAGTGTTTTTGTGGGAACTGTGATTTTCTTGTAAAAATTCTTCTATTGTAGAAAGTTAATTATTTATTGATCTTGCTGTTGATGGAAAGAGGGCCTAATGAATGGTCTTTTACCAGCATGTCCTTCATTCCTAATGGCTTCTCCACTAGAGTCCCAATGACTGACTTGCAGGGGCTCAGCCCTGAGCAGCCCACCACCTCCATTCTAACCACAGCAAAGCTGCATCCATCTCTCCGGGACTCATTAGGGGTAACAACAGCACTGTTATGATTGCAACATCAGCCTGGACAGCACCTCCTTTGAAGAATCTTGAATGCCCCTGAGCTATGTTTATCAAGCAAAACACATCAAGACAAGGAAATGAGGAAACAAGTCACAAGGGAGGAGTGGTTAGTGTTTAGTGTTTAAAAGCAATGTGGAAATGTAGGGGGTAGTGGATGAAAGGAGAGGAAACTTCAGGAGTGGAGATGTAGAATGGAGACTGTGTGTGAGATACAAAGTGGTAAAAGAAGAGCAAATGAAGAAGAGTTGAAAGCAGTGTGAGGTTGGTGGATGAGAAGAGGAATACGAGGGACAAGACAAGAGGGCGAATGAATGGAAAAGCAGAGGATGAGGTGTCTGGTATGGATTGGGGTGCAGAACATCAGGAATGATGGATGGAAGGCAGTGATTTGGAGGATAATGTATGGGGAATGCCCCAGCAGGGACTCCTTGTCCTGAAGAGAATTAGGGTCATGCAGGAAGGAGAAATAAAAGGAGAAGATGAGGTGAAGGAAGATGAGCAATGATCTACGATAGCATTTTCACTCTTTGTGGATCCCTCAGTGTTTTCCCTGTGGACACAAGGTCCCTGGCCTCTCTGTGTTGCCTGCTGGGAATTTCCCAGAATTTGATCAAGGACAACATGATCTTTTTGCCATCTTTCCCCAACATTAAAATGTGATAATTTTCACAAACGTGCCCCTGAAAAGAGCTTTGATGTTGAGGAGTGGCTGTGTGAAATCCTGACTCTCAGAGCAGTGACAGAGTCCATAGCTTGGGTCATCATGTGCTGTGATGCTGTGTTTGGACACAGAGCTCTGCTCTATGGCTCATTACACTTCATTATGGAGAGAGGCAGGGCGAAACTTTCAAAACATTGATTGTTCTGCCCTGAGGATTGTTTCTTTTGTCAGTGAATCTGGCAAGGAATGAAACAGAAATAGTCAACAATATAGTCAATAGTCAACAATAGCTCTGTAACAGATGAGGTGTGAGGCCCCTGCTTCCAATAGCCACAGAAGTGTGTTCAGGAGGAGCACGTCTCAGTGTGCATTTTAGCTTCTGTGTTGCTGAAAAGCAATGGGGAACGGAAACTTACATTTTCTATATGACTTTTTCTACCCTACTTCTGTTCTGTGTGCGTTAGGTATAAGTTTCACTTGAAGACAAACAAAGTGTTAACAGAGTGCGAGAGAAGAGGAAGCCCTCATTTTCCCACCAGTGCTCTCCTACAAGATGAAACCCACACCACCTTTTTCCCAGGGCACACGTGTGGATGCCAGCCATATCCAGCAGGTTCCCTGACCATTAGATCCACGTGGAAAAGCCCGAAAAACATCTTTGCCTTTCTTCCCTGCTGTTCCTGTGTGTTGCTGTGGAGCTGAGAGGTGTGATGCACTCCTGGAATGCTCTTTGGGTGAGCAGATATTTGGCTGTGGAAGCAGCCAGAGGCTGCTGCAAGTTCTCTTCCAGGTGGCAAGCATTTCAGGTCTGACTGCAGCCAGGAGAAGCAGTGTGGTGATACGTGAAGACCTTGATAAGAGCTAGCCTGGATGTTAAGTGCAGGAATGAGGCTTTTCTCTTAGGAACGTACAACTCCAGCCAGCAGACTTCTCAATTGTTCTTTTTCCAGCTTTTAAATATGTTTCAAATAAAGTCGTTCTGGTCATTCCATTGAACAATGACTTTGTGCCAAAGCAGAACTGACTGCTCTCCTGGGTCTGCCAAGAAGCATCTAAAGCTGACATTCTCAGGTAGGTTCATGTATTCCTCACGTGGATCAAGACCATTTTTACAGCTGCAGCACTTGCAAAAAAATCCTCTGTGCTCTGTCTGACTTGCTGCAACACTGGGATCACCTCCATCCCTCTGTGCCTCCTACTTTGCAACCTGGCAGGAAGATGAGGAGTAGTTCACTCCAGGGACAAGGAAGCTTAAATTATGTTTATTTGTAAAATGCCTCAAACTCCTGTGGTGGGATGCAATGCAAGCATGTCAACGGGCATAAGAATGCAAGCAATTTTACTTATGAAGTAGGAAGAAGGGCAACTGCGAAGCAGAGAGCTCAGGAAAACTTGTTCCTTGGGTAGACTCTCACAGAAGCAAAGATACAAAAAAAGACAGATAAAATAAGCACAGTGTGTCTGTAAAACAAACCTGGGCCAACGTGGCTTAAGGCAAGCCTCTATTTACAAAACCTCACGTGACCTGCAAGCACTGAAGGAGCAAAAGTGAGGGAAAACGGGAGTTTTCCGAGTGCATACATCTCCACTGCATACCTTTGGGCTGAATCACCATGAAAAGTTGCAGTGTTCAGAGCTATTTAAAGCAAGGACTGGAGTCTGATGCACTGCTTTGAGGCTGCATCTCTGCAGGGAGGCTGTCACGAGTTGGACCATTGGCCACAGCTGCCTCGAAGGGCACAGGGCCGTGCGGTGCGCTCATTTTCCTGACTGTAAAACCTACGTTTTAAGCTGATGTTAAGAAATGTGAAACTCGGGGGCTGAGAGCTCAGAAGCGGAATGTGGAAGTACTGTTTGCAGCTTTGAGAGCTGCAGCCCATGGCCCACAGCCACCTCCCGCTCCTCTTCTGTGGACTTTTCTTGATCTCTACGAGTAGGAAATGGAATTTAAACCATCCCGTGCTTTTCGAGCAGCAGCCTTTGGCTGTGCTGTGTCACCGGTTACATCCTGCTCCTGCCTACTGGGTCAGACCCCCCAAAAGCCGTGCCGTTTCCCCCCTAAACCAGCAGGAAAACGGCCGGTTCCGCGATGCCCGAGCCCCGCCCCCGTGGGGGCTGAGGGCCGCCGCGGCTCCGAACGGCAGAAGCGACGTCCGGCCGCGATCGCGCTCCGGGCCGGGCCCCCCGCCGACGGGCGGAGCAGCGCCTGCGCCACGGCCCCGCCGAGCTGCCCGTGCCGGCGTCTCGCGAGAGGCGGCAGCAGCGGGGGGCGGCGGGACGGGACGAGCGGCCGGGGGGGGGAGGTGGAGGGAAGCGCTGCCGCCGGCCCCGCTGCCCGCGCGGGAGGTGAGCGCGGGGCCGCCCACGGCGGGGCGGGGCGGGGCGGGGCAGGGCCGGCGGCCGCGGGTATCGGCATAGCGGGTGTCGGCGTAGCGGCCCTTCGCTGAGGACAGGCGGCGGGAGCGGCCGCCGCTTCGCTCCGTTGCCGTACAGCCGGGCCGGGGGCTGAGGAAGGCGGCGGTCCCGAGGGCGGCCGGGACCTCCCGGCGGCAGCAGGTAATGGCAGCGCCGCCGTGTCCGCATCCGCCCTGCGCCCCGGGGGGCTGCTGAGGGCTTCAGCCCCGTCCCGTGCCGTCCGTCCCGGCGGGGCGGTGGATGAGCGGTGCGCGGACGCTGGCTTTTCCCCTCGGCTGGGGGCTGTGGGCCTTTAAGCGGCCCCTCGGCTGGGGTCTGCGGGGTTGTGCGTGTGCTTTCCGTGCTGCTCTGGGGCTCAGAGCCGGGGAGCGGTGAGCAGGCAGACGGGTTTCCGTCCCTTCGAGGTGCGTGGCTTTGGCAGCCGAGCCATCGCTGCAGAGCGGGGACAGCCCGCATTCGATGGATGGCTCTAAAACTTGAAAGACAGAAGTTCAGACGGAGCTCGAGCTACAAGGCTGCTCTTAAATAAAGCATCTCCGGGGCGAACGCGGCCGGCGGGGCGCTGATTTGGAGCCTTTTGGAGCCGACGTTGACGTGCACCAAAGGTTCCAGGTTTGTGTTGGCTGTGGGCAGCGGGACGCGCTGCGATCTTCTGTGCTCGTACAGCCAGCAGCGCTCGGAGCTCGGCATGGAGGCAGGAGCGAGCAGAGCACGCTGCCTTGGGCTGGTTCCTCCTGGAAGCGTTGGGAATAGGCTTATCGAGGAGACTTCGTAGGACGGGTGTTAAGAGAGAGGAGCCTGCTGCTGCCACGGCTGTACAAACCCGCCTTTGTGGTGGCATCGCTGTGTCCATTAAGATGTTCTTTTATTTCTTTCATTTACACCATGCGTTTATGTGACTCAGTAAATGCTGAACGTTGTTACCGAGGTTAAAACTTCCCTGCTCTGCTCTGGGTTTTGGTAGAGCTTAGGAGAAGCAATGCATTGAGTGATGGACAAAAGTGAAGTTTGTTCTGGTTGTCAGTTTGTTGTCCATTGGCTGTGGATGAGGGGACGTTGTTTCCCTACACTTGCAGAGGTTCATTTGGTTTGACTGCCCTGCATCCTGCTGGCTCCCTGAGCCTCACCTGCAGCAGGTGTGCTCCTCTGCACGGGGGTGAAGAAAGCTGCATGGGTTGCCTGGTGACTGCTGGTGAATCGAGTTGCCACAATGGCAAGCATTGGTTTGAATTTATTTTCTGTGCAATTTAAAAAGTTCTTATTCCACTGCTTTCCACTGCTTTTTGCACCTTGAGAAGTGAAGGCTGAGCAAGATGGGTGATGTCCTGCAGCTCCCCACGTGTGGGCAAACAGGCTGTGCAGCAGCTGAGCCGATGTTCAGTGCCTGGGCTGTGTCTGTGCATCCCCAGAGGGAGCCAGGAGCAAACCTGGGAGGATGCAAAGCGAGGAGAAATGCGAGCTGCACTGAAACCTTTGGAGGCACAGTGCTGTTAACAGTGGGGTATGTCCATTGTCTCCAATGTGGATCTGTATGTGAGTTCTTATTTTCTGTAGACCTTCTTGCTCCAGCAAATGAAGAAGCAGAGCTGGAGTTACTTTCTGCCACGAGAGAACATTGCTGCACAAATGTGTTGTAGAGAGGACAGGAAGAAAGAGATAGGAGTTGCTTAAGCTGATGTTTGCCCTCAGAACAAACGGTTATGAACTGGCTGTGAAGTGCAAGTAGGGTTTCCAAATCCCCGAGGAGCCAGATCTGCAGTAGCTTTTGCAAAAAGTGCTGGGGGAGGCCTCCCCTTCATTTCTGGTTTAAGTGGATTTTGAACCATCTGGAGAGATGGTTATTTGACGTGGTACCTTGTGAAGGAAGGGATGGGAGCGGTGACTTTGCACCTCGTGTCTGTCATGACTGAGGCTGGGAGAAAAGCCATCGGTTTGCCCCCAGGCAAAGTTCAGGTTGGAGATAATCCCGTGACGGCTGCTCAGGAGGCTGTGTAGGATGATTATAGCACTTGGTCCGTTTCCCAGTTTGCCGGCATCGTGTCACAGAAGCAGCTTTGTATGGATCCTGGTGCGCATTCTTGTTGGCTGGTGACTTTGGGTTAAACTTGAATGTAAATTCTTGGCTTCTCCTGGAGGTTTTCCTCTTGATTCTGGCAAGGGGAGAATGAAGACACATTCCCTCTGATGTGCTCAGAGACCTCTAATTTGTGCTTTCAGCCTGGCATCCTTTATGAAGTGCTCAGAAAGAGGATGTATCATAGTCAATAGAGTGACTCTGTGTTCTGCGGCAGCTTTCTCAGGAGAAGAAATGAAGTTGCACTACTGTTCTTTTCCAGGGTTCCTCTCAGTCGCTGACAGAGTCAATGGGAGCGGAGTCATTTCAATTCTGTGCTGCTCTCTGCTGTGTGACTTGGGAAAGCCAAATGCTGTGGCTGTGCGCTGTGTCCTGGAAAGCAGGCACGAACACTTGGGCTTCTGGAGGGAGCGATGTGATCAGGGTGGCTCTAACGAGGAGCATCCTTCCATTTACCCAGAGGAATGTGTGTGCTGGCCGTGCCACACACAGTGCTGGGCTTCTTCTGTTGGTGCTGAGAGCATAATCTGTCTGCGCTGGGTGGGACAGCTCTGTAGAAATGCTGGCAGGCTGCTGTGCAGCCTGGAGCTGTGGGAGCTGCTGGGCATGGGGAGATGGCAAGAAAGGATGGATGCTCTTTGCAGCTTTCCAGACTTACTGCATTCCAGCCACCCTGAAACCCAGCATGTAGGGATTGTGTACGCAGCAGGCGCCGTATTCATCCAGAATAGGAAGCATTCCTTGCCCTGAACAGCTAACTGTCTCAAAAGCAAGAACAGATTGAGGCAAAATGCACAACCAGAGATGTGCCAAGCAGTAGGCTTGGCAGCATCACTCCATTATCTTCTGTTGTTGGGCTGAGATGTTGGCCTGGAGTGCTGATGCACATATGTAATTTTCCCCTTCCTTAACTCCATGCTCATCTCTGGGTGCTTCTTCTTAGTTTTGATCCATCCTTATCCTAAATGAGCAAAACCTAGAGAATTACTGCTGAGTGGTACTTTGCTCTGCAGAGTGCTGTGTGTTGTATGCGTGGTTCTTCCAGCTCCTTTTGAGATGTAGAATAAGAGCCCGACTCCAAGGAGCACAGCTGTTGGTGTTGCATTGTGATGCCATGTGGTAGGCTGCAGCTATGCTGAATTTCTGGCTCTCCCTACCTCCAAAATGCAAATAAATATGGTGGAAAAATCCCAAATCCACAGTTTTGCATTTTATGTCTTTTGGGACAAACTGAGCTAATACTTCGAGATTGTTCCTGTTCATTAGGAAATTCTGGTCTAATGGTCTAGTGTTTGAAATCAGGACTTTGCTTGTTAAAATCTGGTGTGTCTGAGGCATAAACACAGCCATGTAGTGGGTCTTTAGACAAGTGACTCTATTTAAGGCTTCTGTAGCTTTCAAAGGTGTTGAGCACGTTGCCCATAGGAAGCAAAATGCTCAGTACTTCTGCATATCTGGACTCTGGGTTCTTTGCATCCATATACAGCATAGGGTTGGTGCAGCCCAAGAACTGTGTGAACTGAACTGGCTAGGGAATAATCTTTCCAGGACTGTGGGGTGCCCACTTTTGTGCTTGGCTTTTGATTCTAACCCTCACAGTTAGTCTGTGTGATACAGCAGGCCTTGAATTCACTCCCAAAATGTCATAGAGCTGCTCCTTGCTTTACTGCATTATTCTTCCACTGCTGTCAGTTTTCGCTCCTCAGTTCTGGGGTGTTTTAGGACTGCTGGGTCTGTTGAACCTCACACCTGCTGGTGAGGAGTGAACATCTTTGTGTTCATCTGACAGCCACGTGAAGGGATCTCTGCACCCTCCAGGAAGGATCATGGAACAGTGATTTCTCACCTGCCTTTGAAATCTGGGAGCTGTTAGGGGTGATGCTGGCAGAAACGTTACACTAAGCTGGGAAAGAGAAAGAAAAACTGACTTGCAGACAGAGATCTACCAGAGCATCCTGAATCTCAGAAACAATTTGGTTAAAAGCAATCATTCTTTCAGGTTTTTATTGATGCTTGGCTGTTATCAGGGTTGTGTCCCTGTGGGTTTTCATAGGAAAACTGTTTGTGTAATTGCTGCCCTTGACAAAATGAAGCAGTTACCAAGAAAAGTGGTGGAGGTGACATCCTGTGGTACCTTCACACAGATTAGATGAAAGACTGCTTTGTCGGTGATGTTCTGTCAACATGAGCTTTCTTTAGCCACTGAGGCAATGTGCCTACGTGTTTATAACTCTGATAAGGCTTTTGTTTTTAGCACAGTGGCTCAGAGAGTCTTTATGGGCGAGGTGAGACCGCAGTGTGATCCCAAAAGCTGAAGTCATGGATCGAGCCCTCTTGCTTGGCGTGTTGGATATGCTTAAAAATCAAGGAGGTCTGTAGGGCAGTTGGTTCTGCGTACTTTTTGTGTATAGTTCTAGATTTTTAATACTCCTACACTTCCCTCTGATAACTTGAGGCCTGAAATGTTAATATTTTTGTTTATTTGTTTTTAAATGGAAACAGAACTCCTGATGAAACCGTGTGATTCAGGAAACTGGAGATTGATGAACAAACCTTCGTTGCTATGGAAATGAGTAAACTTGTAACATGTTATGTCTCGTTTTGGACAGAAAATCAGAGCTTTCAAGTGAATTCCAGGCTAGCCTCTAGGAGCCTGAATGTCCACTCCTGGCAGCATCCCCTGATTCGTAGGACGAGTGCAGATTTTCCTCCTCGAGGAGAGGAGCTAGCGAGAGCTGGAGCAGAAGCTGAAGGCTATGGTCTGTCCCTGGGATACTTTGAGATCTGATGACCCCATCTGCTCAGTTGCAAAACCAGATGCTATTAAAACTGCCAAGGGAGGGCCAACAGGAAGGATGGTCGGGCTTCATCTACCAGAGAATTGGTGCTTCTCTGTGTTAGTCATTGTAGGTACTTGGGGAGCACACAGCTCTTCCTGTGCAGTACTGTGAGATGGTCAGCCCTGTGCAGAGCCTTGATCGTGCAAGGTCATTGTCTCTAAACCAGAGTAGTTAAGAGATTGACTAACTTTATTTCTGGTTCCTTTCCAGGCTCATGGTCTGCAGCACCATGCAGGATCCCAGCCTTTGCTCTGCGAGCCAGAGGTGAATCCATGGGAAGGCCAGCTATTGTGGTAGCTGTCAGGATGACCAAAGCACGGCTCCTCCGTCTCTCTGTGGTGCTGGTCTCCATCTTCATGATCCTCCTGATCATCGTCTACTGGGACAACGTGGGAACAGCTCACTTCTACCTGCATACATCCTTTTCCAGGCCTCATTCCCCAGAGGCCATCCCCGGTATCACTGCAGGTGGGGACTGGGAAGCCTTGCCAGAGGTAGATGAGTTTTTAGCAAAGCTGCTTAGTTCAAGCCTGAAACAGAACAGCTCTACTTCCCGAAAGACAGAGCAGCTGCTCGTCCAAGGCTCCAACAAGCCAGTGGTGAGCAATTTGGAGGAGAACATACGGGGCTATGACTGGTCGACGCACAATGCCAGAAACAGCTTGGACCAAGAGAAGCTGCAGATAGAGAGGCAGAGAACATTGCGGGAGTTTTGTGCCAATTCCAGCTTTGCCTTCCCCACCAAAGAGCGCTCCTTTGATGACATCCCAAACTATGAGCTCAACCACCTGATTGTGGATGACCGCCACGGCATCATCTACTGCTACGTCCCCAAGGTTGCCTGCACCAACTGGAAACGGGTGATGATTGTGCTGAGTGAGAGCCTGCTGGACCAAGGGGTCCCGTACCGGAACCCCCTGGACATCCCACGGGAGCACGTCCACAATACCAGCACCCACTTGACTTTCAACAAATTCTGGCGTCGATACGGGAAATTCTCCCGACATCTCATGAAGATCAAACTGAAGAAGTACACAAAATTCCTCTTCGTGAGAGACCCTTTTGTCCGCCTCATCTCTGCCTTTCGCAGCAAATTTGAGCTGGAGAACGAGGAGTTCTACCGGCGTTTTGCCATCCCCATGCTGAAGCTGTACTCCAACCATACCAACCTTCCCACCTCTGTGAGCGAGGCCTTCGGGGCGGGCCTCAAAGTCTCCTTTTCTGACTTCATCCAGTACTTACTGGATCCCAGGACAGAGAAGATGGCCCCTTTCAACGAGCACTGGCGGCAGGTGTACCGGCTGTGCCACCCGTGCCAGATAGACTATGATTTCATTGGGAAGCTGGAGACGCTGGATGAGGACGCTGCTTATCTCTTGCAGCTCCTCAAAGTGGACAGGCTGCTCCGCTTCCCCCCCAGCTACCGGAACAGGACTGCCAGCAGCTGGGAGGATGACTGGTTTGCTAAAATCCCCTTGGCTTGGAGACAGCAGCTCTACAAGCTGTATGAGGCAGACTTTGTGCTCTTTGGCTACCCCAAGCCAGAAAACTTGCTTAAAGACTAAAAGTGATTGGGCTGTGGGTGTGGGAGGGAACATCTGAAATACCAAAAATGTTTAAAGCCTCCTCATTTTTTGCTTTTACCTCCCTTCTCCATAAAGGTTGGTACAATGGAATATATTTTTTCTACCGCTTCCCCTTCCATTTTTGCAGTAATGCCAAGTTCAGGATATTTCCATCCAGCTGTGCATATGGAAAAAATGCCAGTATTTTTATCATTGTTTTCTGGGTTTCCTTTTTTTTTTTTTTTGAATGTCCCCATGTTTTGCAGTGGGTTACTGCACATGGTCACTCTGCCAGCTGTGTCCTTCAGTAGCTTTTTATTAATACATTTTTTTAAAATTAATATATTTAAGATATTTAATACGAAGTGTGTGTTGTGGCAAAGGAAAGGAAGGAATAAAAAAAAAAAAAAAGAAGTGAAAGAAAAACCTAAAAAGTGCTGATGCATTTGCCTCTGTGTGTCATCTCAAGGCTATTTGTGATGTTGCAGGGCACTCGAATGAATGCTGGGAGCCCAGCAGATGGGTCAGTCAGTGCCTGAGGACCCGTGCTGTGGTGAGGCATGCAGCTCACAGCCAGGATCACAGGAGGGAAGTGGTTGAAGCCCGTGGGGTGATTCAGGATGTGCAGATGGCCAGCCCAGAGCCTCTGCACTGCTTCCACTTCCAGCAGCGTGGTGGAGGAGCTGTGCTGTACAGAACGCTGCATTTGCTCAGCCTCTGCTGAATCTTCTGTGATGTGGTGTCTGTTCAACACAGGTCACTTGCAGCAATGGGGATATAACACAACTCTCAGTGCTTTAGGGGAACGTGGCAGGGTGTGGATATTTACCCCTGGGTGAAGAAAAGCTGAAAGATTTCTTTCAGTTGGTGTGCATCGAGGTGATCTCTGAATTCATTTGTTTTCAGAGTGCCAGCTACTGCTCGTGACGCTGTGCCCTCATCTGCTGCATTCCTGTTTGTAGCCACTGACTGATGCAGATTTAATCACCTGCCTTGCTGGGCCCTGCTGCAGCAGTGATGGTAGCCCACTGTGCTCAGCGCCTGCGGGCTGCTTCCCAAAGGATGCAGCTTTTGGAGACAGGCTTTGTGTCTCATCGGCTGAATCTGCTTCTCTCTGAATTGCTCTGTGATCAGGCAGAGAACTGAAATGCTTGATTACTTTCCTGAGCTGTGAAAACGATGAAGCTCCAGGCCTCAGGAAGCAGCCTTGTGTTCTGGGCCTTGGAGCTGCCCTCCTTGTTCTGCTCATAGACCAGCAGCAGGTGTGACGTTCCCCCTCCATCTCCTCACTTCCCCAACCTCTGTACACGTGTGTTGTCTCAGCATTGTGTGCTCCTCCTGGTGAATGTGCTGCACCAAGTTTCTAATCTTTAAGTGAAAGGTAATAGCTAGTAGTTATGCTAGGAGCAAAGAATTGCATTCACAGCACCCTCCTGTAATTTCTGCAGAGTTATTTGCAGTTTAAATGAGCCTGAAGCCATGATCTGATTTTTAGCGCTTAGATCTTCACAGCTTGGGGAAAAAGGAAGTGCTTGTTTATGAGTCATTATTTAAAACTAATAATAGAAAAGTGTTGATCTCTTCAATTTATTTTTTCAATTACAAGCTAATTGCTGCAAAACAGAAAGATGTTGAGACTCTCGTCTGCTGTAATGAGTAATCCCGGGAGTCTGTTGGTTCCTGCAATATTTACATTTCTTCAGGGTGGGTTCATCCCAGCTCTTCAAAGTTACAGCGTAGATGTTTTCGGCTGTTGTCTTTACAACGTGTTTGTTTTTTGTTTTTTTTTTTTTCCCTCTTCTAATTTCCATTTAATTGATGTTTAGTATTTGCAGACGTGGGCAGCTGGGGACGCAGCGCAGATGTGCTGATGAGCACCGCATCACCCGAGCTGTGCAAACTTCCTCCCAGCTGCTTCCCCTGCGCCTCTTGACCAAATCCTGCCCCTCTGAACCGTGCTCAGTTGCAGGGCCTCTGTGATGCTCGTGCTGCAACTGGCTGCAGCTGCATCCTCACCTACACCACCCCATGAGCCACGGCTGCAGCTTGTCCCACACAGAGCATATTTCATGGCTTCACCCTCAGGAGAGCTCCAGTGGTGAGGGTGGTGGTGGGAGAGGGCTGCCACCCTGTCGAGCCCAGCCTGCATTTGCTTTAAGCCATTTCAATGTCTGCAAACCCATTCTCAGCCAAAGCCATTCTCCTAAGTGCCTGCAGAGAGGAGCAGTGATGGTCACTTGGAGAGGGCTTGCTCTGCTGCTGCTTCCCCATAGCCTGCTCCTTGCTGCTTCCTCCTTTTGAAGCCTTCCTCCCCACCCTCCCACTGCTGTGAATGTATTGTGGAGGAGTCAAAGGCAACCCAGGCTGCTCTGAGCTTTGTGGTGAGGCCACTGGGGGGGACTGGGACAGAGCCTCCAGCTTTAGGAATGTGCTTGCTTTTTTTTTTTTTTTTTTCTGTGGGTTTCTTGCTCTGTTCTGATGATGTAAAAGAGTACGTAGGGGGGAGAAAAGGACAAAGGGTTTCAACCAGCCATGCTTCCTCCCCCCAGTTTTCTGAAGGAGCTGGAATTCAGTATTTCTCAATGGCAGAATGACTGGCGAGGGCAGGCAGTGTGCATGCTGGCCTGAAGTCAGAAGAGAGCTGAAAATTGTGAGTTTAGATGGTTGTGATGGTAGTGCTGATTTTATAAGAGGTAGAAAAATGCTTTGAAGTGGCCTATTTGTGTCTAAATAAACCTGGCTCTTTGTTTCATGCTCTGCCTGCAAAAAATTACGTCCTGTTCTCCCTCTGGCTTGCTTTTGACCACTTGGCCAACGCCAGCCTGGTGCCCAACGAGGCAGAACCGATGTGTGGATGCAAAAATATCCAGGGGGTTGACTGAGATGTTTCCAGGTGGAACTGAGACCAGCTTTAGTGCTTGCTCAGCATCGCAGTCAAAGTCTTTTTGCAGCCATGTGACAGATGGGGTCCCTCACTCACTGCTATGGCACAAGGTATGCCACCCAGCCCTGCAGCCCCTGTGTGCTCCAGGGAAGGGCTGTCAGGCTTCAGAGCTCTTTGCTTTCTGAGCAGTGGCACGGCTTTGCCAGGGTACGGGGTGTCCTTAACCACGTGGGTTCCTTTGAATCTCAATCATTTTTAACCCTTTCACTCATTTCTGGTGATAAAATTGTAGAGCCACCAAGTGTGGACAAATCATCATGGAGTAAAAAGTTGCCCTCGGATCATGCTTGAAGGCTTTTGGCTGTGTGCTTTGAATCCCTCAAGGTGGCACCGGGTGGGTGGAGGGCAGGGGATGAATGGCAGCATTGAAGGGGTGACGAAGAAAAGCCAGCTTGTTCCTCCTTATGTAAGCTGGAGCACGGGGAAGGCCGGTGACTTGGCAGGGCTGTGTGTGGCCGTGGTGCTGAGCAGTGCCAGGAAGGGTGCGGGGTGTGATGACGGGACAGGCAAGCGAGGTGGCTCCAAGGTAAAGGCTTGCCCACAGTTGGAAACCTCATTGGGGGTAGAGCAAAAAAGAAAGATGGGATTTAATGAGGACAGTGATGCCTGTTTGGGGAAGAAACGGAAGTGAGCAGTGCATGGTTTGAAGCAGAGCTAAGGTAGTTCTTCTGTTTGCTTTAATCAAGGATACAGCTTGGGCTGTAGAGATTGACACTTGTCCCTGTGGGGGCTGGCTGGCATTTGGCTACAGAAAAGCTGAGCAGCAATGTCGGGCAGTGGATCCAGGTCTGCCTGCAACGCTGGGGCTGTGGCAGCTCTGCAGAGGCCGAGCTGGAACCTGTTTGCTGCTCCTGGGCTTTGCTGCTGCTGGGTGGGCTGCTGTTCCCTGCCTGGCTCCCACAACAGCAGGGCCCCTCCAGCTGTGCATCCCCCTGTGTGCTGCACTGCCTCCCTGCTGTGCTGGTGTCACTGCCCAGTGTCTTCCCAGCCCTGCAGTGGCTTGGCTTTTGTGTAGAAATGGCCTAAAATAAAGTAAAAATAAAAAAGAAGGAAGTGGAGGAGCCGTGAAAGCTCAGCTTGGTTCCTGTTGGGAGCAGCATGACCTTGGGGGGGAGAGGAAGTTTCCAGTCACATTTCTGTTGGCTTTTTGATGAGCCTTTCCCTGGGCTTGAAAAATTAATTGAGGTTCTGAGAGCTGTGTGCAAGGAGCTCATTTACAACTTAACCTATAGGTGCACATGGAGCAATGCCAGTAGAACAGTGTGGTGATGCTCGCAATTGTCCTGGGGCAGCCCCCAGGCGTGTGGCTGTGCTGCTCTTTGCTCACTGCTTTACACCTTAAGGCTGCTGCTTATTGCTTCAGCTTTCCGTCTGTGAGATCTGGGGTGACGGTGATCCCAAGGAATGTGGAGCAGCAGGAATTTTCCTTGATGTGACTACATGACTCCCACCATGGCCTACGTTTTCTTCACGCCACGATGTCGAGGTGAGGGCATGTTTTCCACGTGCAGCTCTAAACTGGGCAAAACCCAGCTGGGGGATGGCTCAGAGGTCACGGCTCTGTCCCTGGTTGGCCTCCAGGCGCAGTGGGTTCCTCAGGGCTGTCTGCTATGTGTGGTGTCCTTGGCTGTCCCCAGGGCTGGGCAGAGCAGAGGGGCTCAGCCAGCTGCGATGTCCCTGAGCACTGAAGCATTGCTTTTCCCCCAGTGAAGAGTTTCACAATTATGTCTCAGGTTCTTATCCTCAGTCTGTGCTGAATCTGAGTGCCAGACTGACGCCAGTGTATCCCCAGCCCCATCTGACCCACGTGTTAACCAAGTGAGATGTCCTGGCCCACTGGGCAGTGCCTTTGCTGTGTTTGGTGCCTGGCGTGGATGGATGACACCTGGCCCTGGCAGCACTGCATTTTGAGGCAGGGAGGCTGCAGCTGCAGTGTTTTTCTCTGTCACTGCAAGAATTCAAAATGGGTGGAAGAGAATTTGCCCAGGATCGCCTCTTGTTTTGGTTGGATCCTGGACAGTTCTCTGTGGAAAAATGGGAGGAGCAGGGATAGGGATGAGCCAGCATGGTGTGTGTCACAGAGGCAGCATGGCCAAAAGTGTGGTCAGCAGGGAGAGGAGGGAGCTGGGATGTGCTGCTGGGGGGTGGAAGGGCTGCGGGGGCTGAGGTGAGCAGGGAGAGTGCGAGGGATTCTGACACGAGGTGCAGGGTCAGAGCCCCGGGTTCTGTGGGATGGTGATGCTCTCATCGAGCTGTCCCCAGATCACCAACCAGAGCAGGGACAGGCTGGCTCACTTCTTTAAAACAGCAGCTCTAACTGGGATGAAATGCCATGAGGAATTATTTTGCAGAAGCAGCATGACCCAGAGAGGGGTGGGTGGGCAGGAGGGGTGGTGCCACCGACCCTTTAGTGGTGTTGGGCACCTCTATCCATCTCTATTTCCCCTCTCTCAACCTTATTGATTTCAGACTATATATATTTTGGCTCTTGGGTAAATCAGAAGTACTTTTGTCATCTAGAATAATCGTGCTGAGAGTGCAAAGCTTTTGTTACAAAGGCTTCACTGACCTTTAGCTAATGGGGAATCGATGAATGAAGTGTAGGCAGTGCTTCCCAAGTAATGCTGTGCGTGGTGGGGACCCAACAGAGCATCACTCGGGTATCCAATACCAGTTCACCCCCAGACTGTCTGCTCCCCCCTGTAACACAGCTCCATTCTCTGCTGTTGTCCCGGGGATGCTCATGTTGTGCAACCTCCATGTGGTTGTTGCAGTGGGTGTGGGATAGCTAGACTCCATCAGCAGCTGTGGGTGTCCTCCAGCTCCATGTCCCCAGGCCAGCAGCTTGCTGTATTCCTGTTCCAGCTCAGTCAGCAGTCAAGGACTGAGCTGAGGGCACTGCAGACACAGCTGCTGTGTGCTGTAGTCCTTATGGCTTGGGTCTGGGCTCTGTAGCAGGTACCCAGTTAGCAGGGCTGGGAGCTGCCTTTAATTCCTGTTTCAACATGATGGAATCAGAACTGTACTGGTTTTCCCTTTTCCTTTTCAGTCCTTAAATCTGAACTTTCTGGCCCTTTTCTGGGATATAATCATTGCTTTCTTCCAGGATTGCAGCAGTGGGAGGAATGCTCAAATTTATCCTGCAGGTACTGCATTTCTGGAGTTAATTTTGCATTGTGTGCTCAGGTTTTCCTGGGGAAAGTTGAGATGCCAGGAGCCACTCTGTAACCAAAAGCCCTTTGTAAGACCAGGATGAGCTGTGGATGGAAGCCCAACAGCAAGATGAAGCTGCCGTATTATGGTCCCCCATATTGGGTCTTCCAGAGCAGCCATTGGTCTACGCAGTGGTTTCTGGGAGCAAATCTGTTAAAATAAAAAAGTGAGAAAAATGCAAAGCATTTGTCACCGGCAAATGAGAATGTGAATTCAAGATGTTGGGGCAGGCTCCAGATGCTGTTGCAGTTTGCATTTATTACATTTTTTAGAGCTTAGAAAAAGGTCAGCGTGCTTGGATGCAGTTCCTCACTTTTGGAAAGTCTGCAGGTTTGAAAGTAATGCTTTTTTTTTTGTCATAGGGAAACAGCCTGCTTGCACAGTTTGCCTTTGGAACTGAGACACCAGCTAAAATCTAGCTCTTGGGTTTGTCAGCTTAATCTGAAAAGACAACTAGAGACAACAAGGTGGTGTGTTTTGTTGTTTTCTTTCCCCTCAATATAAAAGAAAGAGGTTTCAGCATAAGTTAGGTTGCTGTTGTCAGTGTCAGCTTCTTTCTGGCAGTGCCTATTGGAAGGAAATTTCCAATACAGCCCCGCTGCCAGAGACAAATCCTGTATTGGAACATCTTGGTTCAATATCCCAACTCGCTCCTCACAGTCCTGCCATTTAACGAGAGGACACACAGAAAGTGGCTGCTTTGTTTTCAGCTCTGAGCTTGTTGTTTTCATGATGTATTTTTCTTGCCGGTGTTTGCTTTGGACAAAGCTGCTACCACTCTGCAGCAGTGATCCCTGCTGTGTGTCTGCAGGCAAAGCGCTCTTCCAGCCCCACCGTGGCTCCGTGTAGACCTGTGTGGTACTGGGAGAGGTGGCAGGAGTCCCATTGGGATGGGGCCCACGTGTTGGAGGACCAACGAATGACCATGCAACCTGCTCCTCTCTTATCGTCTGACCTTCTGCCTCCCGTGAGGGCTGCTGTCTGTACTGACCTCCAGGATGTCACGTGGTGTCTCATGATGTGGTTTGGTGGCCATGGTGATGATGGGTTGATGGTTGGTGATCTCAGTGATCTTTTCCAGCCTTAATAATTCTATGATCCTGCGTCTTTGCACAGCGCTGAACCTGGAGGCCAAGTCAACGTTTTCCCTATAAAATGGGGGAGATGCAGATGTTTGCCTGACCTGGTGAGGCACTGCTGGTGCTGGCAGTGTTGCAGGGC